GAGGCGAGCGAGCGGAAAGGCGCTCCCGCGGCACCCGACTCTACCCGGTGCTCCGCCAGAGCAGTGCCGACCTGCCGCGGCCGTTCTCGTGGCGCTGCCGGCCGCGTGGGTCCCGGCGTCAACCGTAGCCTGCGCTGCGCCGGCCGCCTGGGAACATGAGCTTCGCTGCTGTAGCGCGAGGCGTGGCGGCCCCGCTGACAGTCCGACGCTCCGCGCAAAGCCTGGGCTGGATTCCCGATGCTGGGCGCCCGCGCTCGGCACTACAGCTGCTACTACCACCACGCCTCCGCGCCCTACGTTGCGTCGCAGCGCAAGCGATGCGGCTGGTCAATAGCTAGGAGGTGAGGGTCCTGCCACCCGGCCCGATCTCCCCAGCCCCGAGGAACGCAGGCCCCAGCCCTCCTCTCAGACCCGAGTCCAGAAAAAACCCCCCAGCCCCCCCCCCTCTCCCTCAGACCCGGGAGTCCAGACCCCAGCAGCCCCTCCTCCATCAGACCGGGAGTCCCAGCCCAGCCCTCCTCCCTCAGACCGGGAGCTCCAGACCCAGCCTCCTCCATCAGACCCGGGAGTCGCCCCCCGCAAACCCTCCTCGCCCTTCAGACCCGGGAGTCAGACCCCCAGTCCCTCCTCATCAGAACCCGGAAGCAGGTCCCAGCCCTCCTCCCTTCTGACCCGAGAGTTCAGACGCCCAGCGCCCTCCTCCCTCAGACCCAGGAGTCCAGTTCCCGGCCCCTCTCCCCTCAGACCCAGGTCCAGGCCCCGCCCTCCTCCTCAGACGTCCAGAGGTCACGTATCCGCCAGCCCCTCCTCCCTCAGACCCAGGGAGGTCCGGCCCCCGGCCCCTCTCCCCTCAGACCAAAGAGTCCAGCGCCCCAGTCCCTCCTCTGGACCTAGGAGTTGAAACCTCCAGTCGACTTCCCCCTCAACTTTGAGGACTGAGAGAGTCAGGTCCCAAAGTCCACCCAGGGCTGGAAACCTGGAGTTCAGGCCCAACTTTGGGGTACGCGGGTGACGGCCGTCTCTCTCCGGCTCCGCCGCAGACTCTACTCTTCCGACTACACTCCGGGAACTTGTCCGCTAGTGCGCCTGGCCGGGTTCTGGTCCTCATCTCCCTGGGCGCACTGGTCACTTTGGGACTGGGCGCAGGCCCCAGAGCCGCGGCCCTGGCTGGTATGTCCCGCCCTTGAGCCCCAGGCCTTGCAACGCCGAGAAGACTTTCCACCTGAGTGGTGGAGAGGCTGGGGACCCTTGGGCTGGACTGTTTCCTTTGTCTGCAGCCCCCGCAGCCTGCTGGCTGTAGCCCCGAGGAACTGCCCCTTTGACACCCTGTGCCCTGTGCTGGGCTTCTTTCGGGCCTTTCCCAAGGAGTGCCTGAGTGGAGACGCAAATCCCAGTGGTTGAAGGATCTTCCAGCCAGAGAAACAGAGGGTTCGAATCCCCAGCTGTGCCGTTCTCTCCGTGTGGGTAGCTGTGGTAGTAGTAGCAGCTACAGAGAGGTAGCAGTGAGAGGGGAAGCCAGCTGGACCTCCTGGGTCGAGTGGAAGCTTGGAAAACTTTTCTGTCTTACAAGAGGATTGTAAAATGGACCAATCAGCGCTCTGTAAAGTGGACCAATCAGCAGGACATGGGCGGGGACAAATAAGGGAATAAAAGCTAGCCAGCAGCGGCACCCTGCTCGGGTCCCCTTCCAGGCTGTGGAAGCTGTGTTCTCTTGCTCTTCACAATAAATTTTGCTGCTGCTCACTCTTGGGTCCATGCCATCTTTAAGAGCTAAGTCTGCGGCTGCATTCTTGTAGTCAGCCAGACCACAACCCACTGGAAGGAACCAGCTGCCGCGCGAGGCCGCGTGGCAGCATTGAGAAAGCGCCCTTCCCAACTCTCTCT